CACGACACAGGAGAAAATCCTAAAGTGGGGCAACGTCTTTTGATAAAAATAAAATAAAGAAAGAATTAGGCACACCCTCTTATCTAGAGGAGATCCATTATCCAGTAGTGAACGAACTATCACAGGCTGTTTGTTGATGTCCATCAAAGTAGTCAAAACTCTAAAGGCACAAAATAAAAAAGGGGCCACCTACCGAAAGAATTAACATAACATAACATCACGCCTTTTTATCCCCGAAGAGGTAGGCAGAGGTGCACATTTCGGCACTTAATGCCACTGTACAATGTAACACCCACTTTTCACTATTTATGTTATGAGTCCCATGTAATAGGGGGTGAGCCTATTGCCATATACCGGGCACATTTTTCCAGACTCCGTGCTACTACTGAGATTTATAAAAACCCAGTAATACTTTGCCCGACCCGGGAATCGAACCCGATACCCCTTACCCGGCAGTCGCACTTGCGACCACTCGGCCAATGAGGCAGTCGAAAGAATTAAATAACCCGTAATCAGTAACTAAGAAGCACTTTACTCCTATTAAAATTCGATGCAAAACATTTCTGTATTTCCTTCACGATTCCTAACTACGTGTCCGTAATCTAAATTCATCAGGCGAACGAATAATATCAGGCGGCCATTTTGTTTTTCACATTTTCCCGCGCATTCGAACAACATGGCGTTGATGGAGTTTTATTGTTAAAAGGTTTTTAAAATGGTTTCCTTTTTGTAATTGAATATTGAGATGCATTATTTTATCATGTGTTGTTAGTTCGATTCCTGCACAGATCGATTATATTGTGATACTATTAATTCTGTTAAATGTGTTAAATGCAACCACCACACAGGAAAATATCTTACCTATGAGTTTAACAAAGACAGGATTGTATTATTTTATAACGGTCAATTCTGGCAGTATCTTCTCTTTTTCAAGTCGGTTAGTAAAGAAATGCTTTGAAATAATGCAAGTAAAATATCATCAGTATACAATGCTGAGTCAATAAATAATTTCATTACGGCACAGAAAAAAGTAAAATTCATTGATCAATTAATGAAGCTCATTAAGAATAATGTAATTATTGCATATGGCACATCTGCACGACGACATGTGCGAATTTAAAATTACCATTAACGTATTGGGTATAATCAATATTTAATTTTAGTATTTACATTATATTTGTAAGTTGGAAATAATAAATAACGATAGTTATCATACAAAAAAGAAAATTAAGTCTTTAACTGCCGATAAAAATTGTTAACCCGTCGAGCGTCCGCGTTCCTTATGATCCAACGGGTGCACACGTGACAATTAGAGCATTTTTTCTTATTATCCACAGGGTGCTCATAAGGACGCTCGAGGGGTTAAAGGCTAATCTTCCACTAGCGTCGGACATCATTGTCCGACACGGCATCCAATGTGTTAAGAATTCTGAAAACATTTCATTGCAGGACTATTACGCTCCGTCTACACAAAAAGGTTTGCAATAATCTCCTCGAAATCGCAGTTAAAAAGATGGGCCTGGGCCTGGTCTCAGTCAAAAATGTTATGATGACTTTTTGATGACATTGTCATCCTTTAGTCACTGACACTCGTGGTAAGATTAAGGTCAGTGATAAAAGTATTCTACTCCGTCGTCACTACACAATTTAACAATGCTTTTGCTGAAAACTTTCAGTGCTACAATTCTCACATGCAGCTTTAATTAACAACCAACCACAAACCTATAAAACACTAAACGCTAACTCCAAAAATAGTATCCTAGCCGAAATTAAGCCGAGCGTGCCACCCTAAATGGATGAAATTCGGCCTCCCTCATGTCGCCATGTTGGCCTCGTGCATAGTGGTGCAAGTGCAAACGTCGCGGTTTTCCGCCACAAGTGAGAACGGATGTTAGAGAATGGATGTCGGAATGGATGTTGGAATGTCGTTGGCAGTTTTGCAAATGTTGTTGTGCCTTTTATGTGACTGTTTGGCTTGTATGTTGGTATTATTTTTATCGAGAATTGTGTTTCGAAAACCAAGTATTGAGTGGGCGACGTCATTGGCAGTAATTCTATTGAGGTAGTTGAACAGAATAAGTTTTGATATAGACCTAAATAGTACTTTTGGTTAAAAATGGATCTCCTTCTGAATTTAATAGAACAGATGTCCAAAAGAATAACCGTTCTCTTTTTTACCTGCCCCTTTCTGTTCCCCTAAATTTTTTCTATTTAAAAATCGCACCTTCCAAAATCGGTGAAAACAAAAGCGTGGGCTATAAATTCCCGATCGGTTTAGACTTCATTACGTCACAATAGTCCCGCTCAGCAATACAGCCTGATTTATGGACCAAACTGCATTTGTTAGATAAAATTCACTAACACTATTTCGTTTAAAATTGAAACCTACACATCATTCGAATGGAAATTCAGAATATAGAATTTCCAGCTTCACAAGCTGACTAACTGACTGACTATTCAAATAGACTCGATGGAGTATATGAAATGTTCGTTTTCTATTACCTGTGCATAATTTGTAGCATACACAGATTGATATTGGTAATTCTAATTACATTTAAGCAAGTCTTTTAATTAATATTAAACTGATTCTCTAATACTTCTGGATAAATTCAGATTAGATTCTTCAACGATTTAGGTTTGAAAGAGAGATATCAAAAACACAAAAGCTATGAGACAATTTAACCAAGACTGCCGATCTGATAATACTCCATGATTTTCTAAAAACATTCTCATAATCTCCAGTAGTACTTTGATTAACAGAACACTAACAACCAATACCACGTTAAACCATAAAAAATCACTTTATAACCAGTTCAACGGATAAGAACAATAAAACTATCAATTATGGGGATCAAAGCATAAACCGATTTGTGGCGAGACAAAAAACTAAATGAAACTGTGAAAACGTGTTAAATCACGATAATAATAAAGCTAAATATAAAAAGTATGAAGTTCTAAGTCTATTGACCCATTAGACATATGATTTGGAAATTAGTCAATGTCATCATGACTTGCTGTTTATAGTAGCAGGCTTTATCAAGGTGAAGAACTTAGGTGAGTCATATAGGTGTTGTGATAGTAGACATGACTATTTCATCATCATTATCATCACATCTGCCACAAGACGTCGACTGCCGAACATAACCCTGTCCAATGACTTCCAGATCTTATAAACAAGTTACCATAATCTTGGTATCCACAAGTATATCTACTTGAAGAATAACTGCATCTTGTTATCACAAAGTGCAGTTTTTTATACTTGATAGTTTGACGTTTGGCCACCATCTTGCCTGATGGTAAGTGATGACGTGACCGATGGAGCACGCCTACCTACGAGCAACCTGTTCATTTAGGACTTGAAGACACCCAAGTTATATTTGTCAGGAAACACAGATTCCGGCAAGGAATTAATTATCTAGTAGACATTAATGCAAGTAGTAAGGTAACTATAGATAAAAAATTTCGACTCAAAATGGTAACTACAACTGACAAACAAATCCAAGAATCGATCCAAAAACAAGTTGTTAAATTTTTATTATTACTGAGAGCCATCTAATAGAAAACATTACCAAAATAGCATCGAAAAAAAACAATCTTTAGACTGAAACTAATCTAAAATTAAACCTATCATAACAGCCAGCTAAAATTACACACCAAAACAATAATAATAGAGGGATTCTCCACATTTTTTCCATTTAATGATTTGACTATGAACCTTTAAAAAAGTTACTGACGCAAATGAAGAAAAACGGGTCCAGAGTCCTGTTGAAATTCCCGATGATGATGAGTGAGGGTTCAAAGTGCCAAAATTCGCGAAGGTAACCAGTCATGATGACGGTGATTTGAGGCAGGGATAATTAACTCACGTGGTCGTATATGTCGGAGATTCTCAGACAGGTAGGTACAACTGCGTAATGACGCTGTGATTCTCAAAGTATTTTTTGATCATGTATTGTGATGGGACAAAATTGTTTGGTATCAAAATAATAATTCTCGTTATCGACAACCTCCCATAAAGAGGAACTCCTAAGCTGAGTAACAACACTTTGATTTTCACGAACCTATAAGTGACATTTAAACTTTCAGGGAAGATGTTAGTTTATGTGCTACGTCATGCTAAGTAACTTTTAGTTAAGGGATGGTTTAGGGGTGGTTGGTAAGAAGGCTGACATAGAAACAGTTATGAAGAAATAAATATTGTTATTAGCAGACGAATCTGTTGACAATGGTATTTGGCTTGCTACTAATAAAATATAGAATTATTGAATGTCCTTAATAATATTTTCCTGGAAACAAAATTTAAGTAATTTTACCTCAAGTTTATCTCTTTGAAGCTGACCCGCATTTAAAATGGTAATAATTTTAATTATCTTTTTATTACGAATTGTGGAGCGTAAATGAGTTGAGCATTCATCATTTAATTTTATTTTCATATCTTTCATTTCATTCACCATGCAACTTAAAATAATTGCAATTTTCACGAGTGTTTCAATTATACCGCGCATCGCTGAATAAAATTATTTTAAAACATAAATCGAGTTTTATCGTCCATTACATAAAAGTACATTCGTAACGAAATTAGGTATGCAGATTCCCGAATCCTTTAATTTAAATGTTAATTTCTCTGGATTTTAAGCGTTTTACATTTTCAATTGACAGTGTTACGAATCAAATTAATATGGAAACAAAACGATTTGATTTGAATAAAAAAGAAACACATAAAATTTTCCTTAAGATGACTCAGCTGAATATATGACTATTAATCTGTCAAACACCAAGCGGTCACCGGTGACCGCGACCTATTGTTCTTTAATTGTGTCTATAAAACCGGTACTCGACGAGTTAATACGTAAACAGATCTATAAAAAAAGTTGGATTATTTAAAAACTTTGAGAACTCGAATCTATATCAACAGCAGAAACCAGTTTGTTCATATTCGAAGTACGAGCGACATACGTCGACAGTCGTACGGCGGCCACCATTACAAACGGTACCGTGGAATGGATTTTACCGGCAAAATTGCTATCGTAACCGGCGCTAGTTCCGGCATCGGTGCAGCAACTGCCAAGTTGTTTTCTCAACATGGAGCTACACTGGCGCTAGTGGGACGTAATGAAGCAAGATTACTCGAAGTAGCAAACAAGTGTGAAGCGGCGAAAGGAATACGACCCTTATGCCTGCTGTACGACTTGACAGTCGACGCAAATTGCGATGAAATCGTCAGAAAAATTGTGGACACTTTTGGAAGAATAGACGTGCTCGTGAACTGTGCTGGGAAGGCGAGTGTTACGTCGTTGTTTGATAATACAATGGAAATATTCGATGATCTTCTCGCCTTGCATCTTCGTGTACCTTACAAAATGACTCAGTTGTGTACGCCACATTTGAAGAAGACTAAAGGAAATATCGTGAATGTTTTTGGAGCACCGGCGAAAGTCAAACCTGGATTTCTACATTTCGCTATAGTGAGAGATGCTATGCAGAGATTTACAAAAGCAGGCGCACTGGAACTAGTAAGTGAAGGGATCAGAATGAATGCAGTTCGTCCGGGGCTGACAAGAACTAATATTTTATCGAATTTGAATGTACCAGAGAGTGACATGGCACATGTATATGAGAAACTAGCTCAGACAGTACCTAATAATGTTATTATAGAGCCAGAAGAAGTTGCTAAAATGATAGTGTTTGTTGCAAGTGACATTAATCCTAATTTAACTGGTGCTAACATAGTTATTGATGGAGCGGCATCCGGGAGTGTTTAGTGACAATTCGATAAATACAACAAACAACACGATAAACAAATAAATCTGAAATTTAAAGGTGTGATACCGAGTTCGAATGTATGTGTGTCAAAGTGATTTACAATTAAATGATACGCCATTTGCATAAAGTGTAAACAGAAATGGAATTTATGCACAAAAACAGAATTTAACCAATCGGTAAGCAACTAAATGTTATTACGTTAAAATGTGATGAAGTAAAAACTCGTATTTTGAACTGAATAAGTTTTTTATTGAATGTCTGCGTGACCTTGAGTGTTAAAATAGTTTTGTTTACAATGGTAATGTTACGTGGACCGTTGGCACTTCATACGCAGCTGTATGAAAATATTATTGGTTTATCATATATGATCAAATTGATGAAGACAGGTTTAATAAAGACGAAACACATTATTTAGACATTAGAGATACGAGAAAGAGATATTGAACAGAAACTCAATAACGCTAACTTTATTTTATCAAAACCAAAATGAACATTAAAATTTTGATAGAGACAAGAATCCATATGATTCACAGCCTACATATTTACAAACAGCTATATAAATAGAAATAAAACCGGTCCCAAATTGCCTACGAGGAAAACCTGTACAATAATATTGTGATAACTGCAGTGTTATAGCGTTACTTACATAACAAATGTTAAGTTTATGCTCAATTTATAATAACAGACATGCCGTAAATGTTATTTTTAAAGCCATTCGTCATGAATTTATACCTTTAAGGTTTAAGCAGAGGTTCAATCATAGTAAGTGAACCTCTTTTGTCGCCAGCTATGTTATAAGTACAACATTCTTGCTGGACAAATTAGCATATACGCTAGTCGAATCCTATGAATAGAGAAGTCAATGACATAAGTTTCTTTATAAGGCTAAATAGTCAACTTTAACGTGTTTAACTCATAGTGTTCTAAACCAAAAAGATATTTACATTTAGAAATGATTATGTCAAAGGCTAGTGTCCATTCCATACATTGATTGTTATATCTACTGCTATTATTACATTGACAGGCCGTATAGTAAACTAACGTGTCTTATATATAAAAAATCTTATCGATATGTCGTTGTGGTCCGGAGGTTCAAGGCGCCCGCTTCTCATGCATGAGGATGCGTGTTCGAAACCTACCAACGGCTGGTACCAATGTGACATTTCCGAGTTATATGTACTTTCTAAGATCTTAGACAAACGGTGAAGGAAAACATCGTGAGGAAACCTAATCTTATAATTTCTAATTTAATAAGTTTGACATCGCCAACCCGCATTGAGCAAGCGTAGTGATTAATGGTCAAAGTTCCTCCATGTGAAAAGAGGTTTTTGGTCAGCAGTAGCCACTTATAGGCTGTTGATGTTGATAATAATAAGTTAAAAAGTCATATATCATGAGGACGCTTTTATTGCCCATAAATTGATCAAAATCCCAGTCTTCATGCTGAGAATTCAATAAGATCGAAAATCTTAATAGAAAATATACGAAATCAAGTAGCGAGATGCCTTATTCGATACGTGATCAGTGGACCGCCATAGGTCCATTCATAAAAATGTAAACTTTATAGACAAAAACTAAGGTAAATAAATCAAATTACTTATGAAGGTCACCTGTCTGTCGTTATGTCATAATACTAAGTATTTAATGATGATGTCAACACTGTTTACTGTATTGTTAGTTAATAGCAGTTTGCGTAATTGATGTTTATAAATATGTTTGTTTGTATACGCGGCAGAAACAATGGATAGTAATTGTATGGTATAGTAAGAAATCATGCCGCGGAGAACGTAAGTTAAACGGTTACCGGGGCTCCGGCTCGAAGTGCAGGAGTAGGAACGGGGTGGTTTTTAGACACTAAGAGTATGATATCCTCGCCTACGTGAGGCTGAAGTAAAGCTCCGATGATTTTCCACCCATAAATAAAAAAAAATAGTAATAAATCTTACGATTAGCGGTTTCGTACACGGGTGACTCAAACTGTTTAGTAAATTGTTAATGAGTTTTGTATTTGAACAATTGATTACTCGTTTTTTTTAACTTGAATCATAACCGAAACATATGCGCATAAATAATGACAGAATAAGTCCATTCAAAAAATGCTTAACTAACTAATTTGAGAATGCTTATTGAGGTTCGTAATCCATTCAAAAAGTAAGTTTTTATTATGAAACACCTTTACAATGGAGAGGTAATCTTCAAAATTAATGTACCTATCTCTGTAATTAACAAACAATTACACCACCAACACAATACCATTCACATAAACAAACAATACCAAGCTTATATTCACTTCAGCCTAAAAAACAAAAACACACAAATCTTCATATGTACGTGCCGTTGATGAAAACTTCAGCATTGTTTGCGGGCCTCGCTGTTTGCGGTCGTGTAGTTTCAGGTTTCAGGTTATTTTCGCAAAAAAAATCTTGGCCTTCACAATTGTGAGTATGGATAATCATCCTTCATATTCTGTATCATACAAATGGGAGCTTTCAATTTCTCCGTATGTAAAAGGTTAGGTAAAGGTTTATTTAGGTCTATTTTTAGAATAGTGATGTAAAGACTTGGCATATTATTTGTTAGTAAGGGTATCTACAACATGATACAAGAAATATGCAATGTCATACTTAATTTATCTAAAAATTTGTAGTTGTTTTATACACAGACTCTTATCAATACTGTGAAATGCTACAATTCCCTAAAATGTCTTATTTATACACTGCATTTACACTTGCTGGCCTGTATAACATTCTAGGGTATTTAAGCTCACGGTCAACGAACACACGTCCACAGCGTGCATTGCATAATACAAATATTACGTACAATATTACTCGGAGACAAGTAAACAAAGTAGAGCGGCGACTGATAAAAACCGATAACACTATCAAAGTATTGCCAACCACGGTCATACAAAGACGTGTGAATCGCTATTAATATAACACTCGATAAATACATTCATAAAATAAGTAGCGAGAATAATATTGAGTGATTTGAAGAAGTTGAAGATAAAATGGATATAGATTTGAGTGGAAAGGTGGCGATAGTGACTGGAGCTAGCTCAGGAATTGGAGCAGAGACAGCAGTAACATTTGCAAAATATGGAGCTAAGGTATCACTAGTGGGACGAGATGAAGTCAGACTTCTGCAGACAGTGAACAAATGTGTGGAAGTAAGCAACGTAGTGCCACTGTGGGTGCGACTAGACCTGACACAACCAGGGGCCTGTGAAGCAGTCATCAACAAGACCGTAGAAACATACGGCAAGCTAGACATACTAGTAAACAGTGCTGGAAAGGTAATATTCTCATTCCTATCTGACGATTCAATGGAGAGGTTAGATGACTTGATGAACGTGAACTTCAGAATACCATATCACTTATCACAGTTAGCACTACCGCATTTGGAGAAGACGAAAGGAAATATAATTAACATAGGAACTTCAATGTCGAGACGGACAAAACCTGGGATGCTGGGATATACCGTGTCAAAGGCTGCACTGCAGATGTTTACAAGACAGGCGTCATTTGAATTAGCGCCGAAAGGAGTGAGGATAAACTGCATAAGTCCAGGGCCTTCAAAGACGAATATTTTGGCGAATATAATTGTGAATAATCCAGAATTGAGGGATATGATCAACAAAGATTTGATAAAGTCGACGTCTGATGGTAATATGTTGGATCCTAAAGAGGTTGCCTTGTTGATTTGTTTGACTGCCAGTGACGCGTTTCCGAGTCTTAATGGTGCTGATATGTTGCTAGATGGTGCAGTTTGTATGGCTTAGATTTTAGTGTTTTAAGTGTATGAACTGTGAGTACAAACATTTGATCTTAATTATGTTAAGGTGTATGAATGTGTGACTATTTTTTTTCATTGATAAAATGTTGATAAGTATTATTTGTTTCATTTTTCTTTTCATAGTAGATAAGATTTAGATTGTGTAGTTTTAGTCTTCAAATACTCATTGCTTGCATTATAAGTGAAGAAACTAATAAGCACGAGGTCTCAGGTTCAATCCCTGGATCGGAAGTTGATAGCACTTACTAAGTTACTAATTGTATAGAGGAAGTATATATATTTCGAAATCTTTCTTAACTGTTTAGCTACGCATAATTGCATACTATTTTGGAAATTAAAAGACAATGTCTTCATATTTTAATTTAAACTAAAACTAATTCAACAATTAGTTTAAAACCAACTAATGTGTTATATTTAATGACTTGTCAAATTATACAAAAAACACTTATCATCATACAAAATAGGATCTAATAAAGAGACTAGCAGAAGCCGCAACTTCGACCGCGTTTTTCTGAAATAAAAGTAGCCTATTTTACTCCTTAGTACATCAACTACCTGCCAATAAAAGTCCAGTTAAAATTGGTCTAGCCATAACAGAGATTAGCCAGTACAAACAGACATACAGATATAACATCGCGCCTTTTATCCCCGTGGGGTAGGCAGAGGTGCACGTTACAGCACTTTATGCCACTGTACAATGTAACACCCACTTTTCACTATTTTATGTTATGAGGTCCCATGTAATAGGGGGTGAGGACAGACAGACGGAAAGACAAAAATTGTAAAAGGTGCTATTTTGGTATAAGTATCTTATGTAGTATATTCATATGCATGATGTAAAAGGCGGTTATTTTAATATTACAACCAGACACTCTCAATTTTATTTATTTGAATACATAAATATTACTCTACCTATTTAATATTAAAACTCTTAATGTAACACACGATGGTATTTTCATATATAAATACGTTTAATACAGTTTGTGGGAAAGATGGTCGCAATATGGGGTACAGAATATAAGGAAAATGACAAAGAAGGAAGATTTATGACTTCCAGTAGATTCACAATAGGAAATCATCATGTGATAACAGTAATGAAAAATAACTGTCGACGAAAATATTGTGGAGCATTCCCGAGTCAGACAAAATGTTGTTATGATTTTCAATTTTGGAAATTCTCAGCAATTAACATGGTGGTTTGAAGAGGCAAAAACTGATTATCGTACCTACAAGAAATGAATTATTTCATACGATAGATATGAGATCTTATTTTGTTTTTACTGATGATGCATAATACACTGGTCGTTTATTCAAAGATAAGACATTTATTTGTTTCATCATCATCATCATCATCATCAACACGGACTGACTTGCATTGTTGGTGCGGCGCCTGGGCAAGCGGCTGCCATGCAACGTGTCGCGGGTTCGATTCCCGCTCGAAACAACACTTTGTGTGATCCACAAATTGTTGTTTCGGGTCTGGGTGTTGTTGTGTATGTACTTGTATGTTTGTAAACGCAACCACGACACAGAAGATAATCAAAGTGGGGGATACTTTTTTTTAAAAAAAAAAACAACAACTACCACCTATAATTGACCAAGGATGACCGAGGGCTCCCCACATGGACAAGGTAATATGATTTACTTCCTTACTAAAACTTGTAGATTAAGGTCGATTTTTGACTTGATTTAACCTTGACTTCATGATGTATGAAGTCGACTATCCCAAAATCACTTTACATGGTTTAGTAACTCGAAATACATGGCAAGAAAAACCAAACACCGAATAAAGACTCTAATCTACAGCTTATACCAATAACTCAAAATTTAATGATACGTAAGCCGAATTTATTCACAAAATTGATCGCTATACCCAAGGAGATAAAGGCGATAATCGTTCGTCAAAGTGACAGATTTAAAGCTGGAGTTACTTTGTTAGCAAGGCTGAAAGTTTGGACTAAATTAGATAACTAATTTGTTCTGATATAATTATGATCTTAAATGAGTGTTTCTGTTCATGATCTTGAAGTAAATATAGTTGTTGATGATGCATATAAATAATTTGTAAAACAGAATATCATTTGGGAACGAATTGTATGATTTTGTTTGTCTTTTGATAAGTATCTGTTTTCCAAAAGTACTTAAGGTTAATTCTTTCAACTATAGGAGGTGCATTAAAGCTAGAAACTAGATTTATATTTATTCCATCATCCTATCGATACTGGTCTAAAAAGGAAAATATTACTAAAGATGTTCAAATTGCTAATCAGATTTATCACTTAGTCACAGATTTAACTCGTCTCTTAACAAATAACAATTAGCAGAGTACACTTTAAGTATTAAACAATAAAGTAAATAATTGCGTGATATCTAGTAATCTAGTCCAGGTTACACCTTTAACCACAACACAGGTAAATAAAGCGGTAATGCTGATAAAGCTGATAACGTTATCAATGTATCAAAAACCGCTGTCAAAGAAGGACGTGTATCGGATAATACTAACGTGAAATTAAAAGTTAAGTGTAATACAGACGATAAAAAAATGGATAATAAAATGGAAATAGATTTGAAAGGAAAAGTGGCGATAGTGACTGGGGCTAGTTCAGGCATTGGAGCAGCAACTGCAATAGCATTCGCTAAGCATGGAGCCAAGCTGTCTTTAGTGGGACGTGATGAGGTGAGGTTGCTACAGACAGTAAACAAATGTGTGGAAGTGAGCAACGAAGTGCCATTGTGGGTGCGACTAGACCTGACACAACCAGGGGCCTGCGAGGCAGTCGTCAACAAGACTGTAGAAACATATGGCAAGCTAGACATATTAGTGAACAGTGCCGGCAAAGTAGTACTATCAGACCTCACCGATGAATCAATGGAGAAACTAGATGACTTGATGAACTTAAACTTCAGAGTACCGTATCGTTTAACACAGTTGTCGTTACGTCACTTAGAAAAGACGAAGGGGAACATAGTAAATATTGGAAGTTCGATGTCGAAGCGAGGTTTGCCTGGAACATTGGGATATACTCTATCCAAAGAAGCACTGCAGACGTTTAGTAGACAAGCCGTTTTAGAATTAGCACCTTTAGGAGTGAGGATAAATTGTATAACTCCTGGGCCTTCAAGAACAAATATTCGAGCTCCTCTAATCGTGAACAATCCTCATTTGCTAGCCGATTTAAGTGCAGCTTACGCTCAATATCTTGATAATGGCATGGTTTTGGATCCAAATGAAATTGCCACATTGATATGTTGGACAGCGAGTGATATGTTTCCTAATTTGAATGGTGCTGACATGCTATTGGACGGAGCACATTGTATGGCTTTTTCGACATAAACGGCGTTATATTTATATGAATCATCGTTTTCATCAGCCTGTATCGGTAAATATTACTAAGCGATCTTCAGCTCTCCAAATTCATTCACTGCCAGTCACATTGCAGACAGTCTTTGCTGTTCGTCTAGCCGTGGTTTACTTCGAAACAAGTTTCGTGCATGATATAGATACTTGTAAAGATGTTCAGTGGAGTCAAGAAGACAGGAGTGAAGTCAAGTGAAATGTTCTAAAGTAATTAATAATTCATTGCCATGTTTTATATTTAAGTTAGTGCAAGAAAATGGAATTATTACAGATTCTAAATGGACAAACAGGTGATTTTATTTCTTTAACAAAGATTAATATTAGATAAAGTTATTTTTATCACTACATTATTCATGCAGACGAAAAAGTTGTTATCATTTAAGTTTCAAGGACAAATTAAATTAATGTTGATTAGTCGTATAAGCCAAAATTATTTATTTTTGTATTTTGTTTGTCAAACACTATGTTTTCGGCTTAATCGCGTAACTGTTTGACGAGGAATTCGACTAGTTTAAGCCATGCTAGAGGCTCATATTTATGAGCACTGTTCAATATGCCTAGTAGCATTCCGCGACCCGCGACGCGGCGACTGTCGCGATGCTGCTACTTGTTTGTCTATATTTCTTTTGAGTTCAAATATTTCCTTCCTTGAATTGCGAACATATTCACTGCTTATTACATTTGCAATGGTAGTTTTAACATCGGACAGTACTGTCATTTTTGAAGACGTTTATAGACGTTCTAACTTTATAATACCATAATTAAACATGAGAACCCGAGTGTACGACCACTTAAAGATACATAAATACACCTAATCTTAAGATATTAGACATTTACAGCCAAAACCGACTGACAACTAACAAACCAATATACAATACACTACAGAGAAAACCCAAGCACATCAGCAGGTTTACTGCACAGAATTCCCACCCTTATTAGAGAACGAACAAGTGTAAGTTTAGCATGACATTATTAATGATGCGAAGACGTTAATATTTGTCAAAATGGTCGACGCTTCGGAGCGCTGTGTCAGGGTGAGAAGCTATGATTTACGGCAGCGCTTGTCTTCGAAGGAAGCAAGGCAAGGGAATTATCAGAAGGTAAGCTTGTTTTTATAATAACTATCGTGAGACATACTAAATTAACTAAAATCACGTAAGAATATACAGAGAAATGCACTACTAGTTTCGGCGGCGACGCCGTGACCGAGCCCGCTGCTCATGAGGAAGAACCCCTCTGTGGTTCGAAACTAGTAGAGCTTTTCTCAGTATATTCACGTGAGTAAGCCGCGATTTTAGTTAATTTAGGTAAGCTTAGAATTGTTTGATCACAGTTATGAAGGACTAGCTTCTGCCAGCGGCTTCGCCCGCATTCCTGTGGTATAAAAGTAGCCTAAGTGTTATCCCAGATCATAATATACCCCTGTTCTAAATTTCATCTTGATCCCTTTAGCCTTTTGACGTGAAAGAGTAACAAACACACACATACATCCTCTTTTGCACTTATAATATTAGTGGGAAGTAGGATAGGAGGATTGTGAAAGGTAAATGGTTGTAGTTCATGTAAAATACTAATATCGAAGTTGATTCATATCCAAATCCTAAAAGGCTACTAAATTTTAAGTTGCACTTAAATATCGTGGCGTCTCTGTCATTTCACAGAGAAATTGTAGAGACAGAAGCATACTTAAGCACGTCTTAAACTTGAGTGGCGTTTGTCCATTTGTTGGACATGAGACTCTATTACCCTAAAATTAATTTGAAAAGATGAGTAGGGAGAATATTTAACGTTTACAGTGCACCTATTTTTTAATATTATTTTTTAATCCTTCCCAATGTATGCGTTGCCAAAAACCGGACCAAATGCCCGACTGAAAGTTTCGAAATCGAAAAACGAAACTATGAAGTTTAATTTTAAGATCCAGTTAAATCTAATACCTCAAAATCAGCATGAAAAGTGAATGAGGAAATTATCTCTATACAATACCCTTATCTAGATTCATTGTGAAAACTGTCGTATGGTGAACACCTCTCAGAACAAAACTCATTATTTATAATTCTCCTTAAAACTAAACGATACCAAAATGAACCTTCTGTTCTTCCATTTCTTACGTAAGTAGAATCTTAAACATTCCAGCTTGCACATTTTCTTACCTGTAACAAAGAGATATAAAATTATTTTCATAAAAACGCAATTTATCATGGACCTTATAAAATAGAACACAGCTCATCAATCTACACCAGTATATTATTAATTTAATTCCAACCTTATAGCATTGGTAATAAGGTTAAAAGTTTATTAAGGATTTTTGGAGATTTAGGATAGTTTGACGTGCTGCGAGTATATTTAAATGCGCGTGAAAATAAACATCTAATTGAAAAACTGCTAAACGTTTCATAGCTTTTGTCACTGTTTTGTTAACAGTTTGTTTTATGAGTTTACTGAGCTATTGTTCTGAATTTTTGATAGATTTACAAAAAGGGTTTGTGTGATGTAAAGACGGTTGGTGCGATCGCGGTGACTAGGTGCTGGCTAGACTGCCGCGCAACGTGTCGCGGGTTTGATTCCTACACAGAGCAACTTGTACCTACCTACTCTTTGTGTAGGCCACAAATTGATGTTCCGGGTTTGGATGTCATGTGTATGTGAATTTGAATGTTTGTACCCACGATACAGGATTCTCCTATGTCCAATCAACATCTCAATAATTTTCTTATTTAAAAAAAAACTAAGTAGCATTAATTAATCATTTCAAGCAATGATAAGGTTCACGCACATTTCCGTTGACTTACTGATTAATTGTGATAACAATATTGATGGTCGGGGTGAATAATACAACATCATTGTCGTGCAATTAATAAAATAATCACCTTTTTTTGAGGGGGTAAAATCATCGAATGACTTCTCCCGCCCAGGTGAGGCGGGAGGGAGTGTCAGATTCTTACTGACTAAAAACTACCCCGTTCCTACTCCTGCACTTCAAGCCGGAGCCTAACATGGAGATTTTTTTTTGTTGTTCTGTTTCTATGGCCATCTGTTATTCAATATTCAAGTATCAGACAAGAAGATGGCTTATTGTTGAACATGGTGATAACACGATATAATTGAATTTTTTTACCCCTAACTAATAGTTACTTAGTATGATGTAGCACTTAAACTAACTCCTTAGTCATACTGTTAGGTGTCACTTATAGGTAAAACCATATAGTTAAACGTCTACCTTGGGTTAGGGGTTAAAATTTAGTATAGGTTAGTGAAAACAGTAACAGGATCACCTGATGAGAAAAAATAAGCCTTGACCTTTGTCCATACCCCCAACACTAAAAGAATTACAAGCGCATTGCCAGTGTTTTAAGATGGTCTACGCTCTTTATTGAAGGTTTGAAGATCGTATCATTTTGACAATACTTAGGCCATAGTTATCTATATTAATGCTACAATAAAACTTTCCACATATCACATTCTGTTCAGATGACTTTTAACGACTGCTCAGATGAAGCAATTAGAGTCTTAACAACTGTAATTATTTATACAGACTAAGATCAAACTCTACAGCTGACAGTTCAACTTGCGACAAATTGACACAGCTTAATTAATATTAATATACACAAATCAATAAACTATTCTATAGAAAAAGAGAACATGAATATAATTCTGGCACAAGTCACAAGCCCTAGCGATTGTCGTAACGTATTGACATGCGTCACTGGCACTGCTATCAAAAATAATGCGAGACGTAACGACAACTGTCTAGAGACGCAACGAGTGATGGGAGACAATGAGTTCAGATTAAATAAAACAATTTGATCTTGTTTGGTCAAATGCATGAGCGATAGCGGGTAACCAAAGACGGTAGCGATTTAAGATAAAATGTTGGTTAGTTTACTAGACGTAAACATAACATGATTATAAATCCCGGTTTAGTAAAACATGACAAATTCGTTTAATGCAATAGATGCACAGTAAAAGAAGCAGAAAGTCAGAAACTGTACTCCGGTATGACTAGATTCAAGATTAGATTAATAATTAATAAAGAAAAGTAAATGTGCTAATTCAAAACCTTTAACTGATATAAGATACAATACAATAAACGAAGCTAACAATTAACAATATAGGCAAAATACAAAAATAATCGAATACAATAAGTAATTTATCACCGTATTATCGGAAGAGCAGAAGCCAAAAGATGGAAGTCGGGAGAGATATTCCGTAAATGTAGTAAAATGAATCTTTATTAAAGTCAATAGATGCTTTTATTGAACTCCGTTCATGATATAAATGTATGCATTTCCTGTGAGACCGAAGTAGTTATTTTATTATTTCTTAATTTTTTTTAATCCACTAAAATACACGAAATCCACAGAGGCAATAATTCAATTTGTCTTTATTTTCTATCATACTAATACTCGTATTATAAACGTGACAGTTTATGAATACCTACGGATTTTTTTTGGGGTATGTGAATCATCTAGTTACTTCTCCCGCCTTGGGTGAGGCGAGGGAGAGTGTCAGACTCTTACTGACTAAACACCACCTAGTCCTGCTTCGAGCCGGAGCCCCGGTAAACTACTAGGCCGTCTTCGTCTGCAGCTCATGGATTATAAACCTACATTACCTACAGCCTACATATTGTACTGGTAGTAAAGGCAAAGCCGCTGGTTGACGTTAGTCTTGTACACTTTTATTCCTTGTAGTTTGTTTGTTTAGTTTTTTTTTGTTTTTAAACATTGCCCCACAGTAGGATTTTCTTCAGTGACACACAGACCCGAAACAACAATTCGAGGATCAAACAAAGAGTTGTTTCACGCTAAACCAGCGACACGTTGTGCGGCAGCCGGTTGCCCAGCCACCGCACCAACCGTGCAGACATTCAATTACACCATATACATCGAACATGATAAATAATAACACGTGTTTTTTTTAAAGGCGGAAAATCATCGAGATGCTCCAGTTACTTTTTGGAATGAGCACCTAGT